CTTTGTTTGTGTTAAGTTGCTGTAAGGTTTGTGACGGTACACCCGTCTAGCTCAGTCGGTAGAGCGCTGGCCTTTTAACCCTCTACACCGATCGTTCCGGATTCTCCGGTATTTGGTTTTAGGATTGAAAATATTCAGCGTTCTCCGCAGCAGATTTGGGATGGGCGGAAATCCGCATATAGAAATTTGTATGGGATAAGATATACCAGGTCATATGCGACATCTGTTGGCGTTGAGACATGAGATTTTCGAGAAGGGGTTAGGGTTACAGATATAAGAATCGAGGGGAGTTCCTAGCCTTTCATTCCAAGATTCGCGCTCGAGGAGAGACCTGCACTCTAGAAGAATGGCGGAGCCGTATGTCGACCCGATAACGTTCCAATTGATGTGGTACCAGCTGACCAAGAAAGGATGGAGCTTCCGGAAGTCCGTCGGCCTTAGCAACGACCAGCGTTACGTTCCACCGGACGGGAATGTGAAGGGAACTGAAGGCGTCGACGTTTTCGTCGGTAAGTGTTCTTTTATTGTTTTTCTGTGTGTTTACTAAATCGATTTTGTTGTAGGGGAGAAAAGCTTGGTCAAGCACTGTATGCAGCAAGGGTGGTTTCCTGAGTACCTCGGATTGCCCCCAGGAGTGCCTCCGCGCTCGACGACCCCGAGCTCGACGCCTCCCCCCGAAACGCCTTCGCACCCAACGCCGCCACGCTCGACACCTCCCACAACGGTACCGTCGCAAACGGCACTAAGCGCGACGGCTGGAGATCCTGTTCAAGGCCCAGATGCACACCTATCGGTAGCGGCTCCTTCTACCCCACCGGCAGCTGCAAAATCTGCTACAAGAATCCCAAAGCCTGCAGCCAAGGCGTCCAAACCGCCGACCAAGAGCAAGAGAAAACCGGCACCTCCGAAACGAAAGGCAGCACCTAAGGCCCGACTTTCAAAGCGACGTCACACTGGTATGTGCTTTTGTTTGAGCATTGCTGTATGATATTCTAACTTGGCGTCATTACGGATTGTCCAGACGAAGCTATCACGGAGGAACGCCAATGTGTTCCGGAAAGTTGTGAAGTTCCTTTTCCGAGTGAAGCTGTCCGTGTTACGGATAGTGGTCAATTTGCAGTTCCGGATGTGATGGAAGATGTTGTGGAGAGTGCTAAAGATGATATTCCGGATGAATTCCAGCGAGAGACAACCCGTGCCCGTGATCCACGCTTTGTTACGCTTGACGACTTCGACTCGGATGGCTTTCTGACCGCATTGCGTCGTGACCGGCTATTTGAACCACTTGACAGTGATGACTTGAATGGTGGTGGAGATGACTGGTTGCTCGAACTGGATTCGGAGGCCGAGGGCGACGAAGACACTATACTAGTTGATAAAGATTCTAGTGACTCAAGCGATGATGAGTTGACGGCATCTCCGCTGGATGATGATGACGAGGAAGACCCAGTGGAGTTCGCCTTACGCAAGCCAGAGCTCGACAGACTGCAGTTGGAGGAGTGG